AGGTTCATTATCTCCCTGTATTACCTTAGATAATTGACCTTGTAAATCTCCATGTCCTTGTAAAGTCTTCCATGCCCTAACTGCATCTGCAGCAATTTGTGAGTATATAGCAGGATCATACCTAATTTGTTGCCGCTGATCCTCATAAGGTCCTTTTCCTAACAACATATCTAGATTTCTCTGAGGATAACTGGCTGCTGCATATCGCCTAGCCGTCTCCGTGCAAAATTCCTCATTGGCTACCTTCCATAACAAATATTGTCTTCCATTTAGCACAGATTTACACATGCTAGCCCAATCTGCTGGCGTCATGTCCAAGTTGTTAATGGACTCGACCATGCTTACAGTGAAGGGTGCTTGGGGATCATAGGTTGTTACAGCCTCCTTTAACTGCTTCACTGTTTTGAAATCTAAAGCACGGTGAATTCGCTGCCCTCCTGCCTGCTCAAGTACAGGGCATGCTAATCTTTGAGGTCCTGTCTCAGGATCCCATCTATCAACTACGAGAGTTGGGGGCCCCATAGGATATGTTGTCTCTATAGGTGGAGCAGTTGGTTGGACACTTACACCCTCTGGTGATAGAAAGGTGTTAGTAGCAGCCTCCTGTTGTAACTTTTTCCTGATAGTTCTTCCTCCTTTAAATTTTCTTCCTCTGTCTGACTAGCTCGAGAGACCTTCTCTTTTACTTGATCTAAAATGTCTTTCTCCAAGGTCTGAACCTCTAACAATTTACTTAACACTCTTTCAGTTTGTTTTTCACTAATTTCTAATCTACTATAAAGATAACACAACCCAACAAGATAACACAAAACAAAACCAAAACAGAATGAAACAAAAACGGAACAAAAAAATCGTTGTGTCAATTTTTCTATTTTCTTGACATGTGCATTTGTGGTCTATTTCTATCTCTTCCTCAGGGGCGAACAACTTCAAACCTTGAGCCAACCATTTTTCCCAGTTTGCCTGAGAAAGTTCTAGGGATAGGCAGCTTTAAATAAGAACAAAACAAATCAAAACAAGAACACATTGTTTTTTGAAATGGTCACCCATTCTCTCGCCTTCCCTCAGGCGAGAGCAATTTCACTTACCTCTGAGCTTCAGGCATTCCCCAAATGGGCCACCAATTGCCGCAGTCTGGCTGGGCACAAATCACGAGCCACTGAAGCAGGAACAAACTTTATTTCTGAACTCCACCAGCACACTCCACACACACTCCCCGGGAACTCCCCCGAACGCCACCCATGCGGCTCCTCCATGAACCACCAACCGGAAACCCCCCCATGGGCTGCATCTGCACTCACTCTCGGAACCCTGCAAGAACTCAATGGGAACTCCAAAGTAGTGGGCATCCCACACAGCAAGAGCCATCCCATTAATGGACAGTAAAGGTCTAATATACAATTGAATCAATCCAGCATCATCTTAATGGATCGCCTCTCAACCATTACATCTGGCAAAGTGCCAGGGGCCATTCCGACTCAGCTGTGGCTCTCAACAAAAAACTGTAAGAACAATATGAACAAAGATTCTGGACAAAAGAACAAAGGAAGAAAATATTAGTAACTATTTTAATAACAAAATAGAATACAGGCTATAAAACATTAAATTAACATAAGGGACTTTTCCATGTTAAGAACCATAATCACCAGATATATATAATGCTTAGGAGTATTTTATTTATGTGCAAAAACACAAAAAGAAGTCATAAAGTGGATCGTGCAAGTATATATATTGTGCAATAAATATAGATGTATATATGTAATATATACAAAATAAATACACACACAAACAGCAAAAAGACAGTAGATAGAACCACCACAATAATAGTAATAATAATGGAGGACTTTAGTATACCTCTCTCAGAAAGAAACATGTAGCAGAAATAAATAGGAAAAAAGTACATAAGGTCAGAGAAGACCTAAATCACATAATCAATGAGGTAGTTTTTACTGACACACATATATATATAAACTGGTGCGGAGGTAAATATATATATATATTTTCACCTTCATAATCGGGATCAATTACCCGATTATGAAGGTGAAAATATATATATATATATTTACCTCCGCACCAGTTTAAAAAATAAACCTTTCCGTAAGCTCTCAGAAAATATAAAGAAAAATTGATCATTTATTAGGGCAGAGAGAAAAAATAGGTATGTTTTTAAAGTAGAAATGCTATTGCTAAAGTTCTATGATTGCTATGCCATAAAGCTAGAAATTACTTACAATAACAAAATAATAGACAAGTCATTTCATCAAGAAAGTCAGTCTTTTATTAAATAACTCTCCAGTGAAAGTGAAAATATATTAGAAAATTACAGATTTCAGATCAATGATGCTAATAAAAATGTACTCAAAATCTATGAAAATAAGATTTTCAGCAGACAAAAATCATAGAACTCTGCACATTTATCATTAAAATGAAATAAATAATATGAATAAACTAATATCCAAGTTTTAAAAATGTTTGGAAAGAACAACTAGGTAAGCTAAAGAAAGTATATGTAATAAATTTAAAAGTAAAAGTTAATGAAGCAGAAATTGAAGAAAAAAATTTTAAAAATGACTAAAACTGCTGTTATTTAAAATAATTGAGAAAATTATAGAATGCTTGGTAATTTATCAAGAGACAACAGAGTAAGACTTAAAAAATAACAACTGAGAAATCATTGAAAGAAAAGATATTTTAAAAATTATATGATTCATTTTTTAGATCTTATGGATAAAAATTTGAAAATTTAGATGAAGTGGTTAATTCCCTAAAGAAATGCAGATTATCAAATTTCACACCACGATATTTAGAGATTATAAAGATAATATATTATTATAATTTCTTTAGAAGAAGCAGAAGAAATTGTTAAAACTATAGGATTATGTTTCATATCAAGAACATTTTCCCAAGAAAATTTTGCCAAACATTTAGAGAAGAAAATTTCAATGTCTATTAAATTTTTTAAAATATTACAAATAAAGGAAAATTTCCTAATTCCTATTATACACGATGTGTAATATTATCATCAGTGTTGGGCAGACTCTTAAGGTACCACCTTGATTTCTGCCTGGTGATACCCGATACCCTTACATGATCCTCTTTTCTTGAGTATGGCAAGGTTAGTGAATTGCTTCTATCAATCAGAGCATGTCAACAGTGGTGGAGGAAAAAAAAAAGTGTGTGTGTGTGTGTGTGTGTGTGCTATGTTATAAGAAATTGTAGTCTTCTTTGGATACACTTTCCATCCCCTCCTGGCTTTGAGAAAACATTCAGCCATATTTGGGATTTCACATGATAATTAGGAACTATAGGCGCTATAGGAGCTTCTTGGACGTTAGGGTGATCTCCAGCAAAGACCACGTAAAATCTACAGTTCAACTGTCAATGTTGAGCCCCTCAATTATAAAACCATAGGGAACTGAATTCTGCCACAAGCATATGAAAATGGGAGTAGATCCTTCCTCACCTTAGTTTCAGAAGATACTGCAGACCTGACCAACACCTTCATTACTTCACTGAAACTTACAGACTAAACCTAATATGCTGTCTCTGTATAATTATTATGGACTGAAATGCAGGCCAAATAATTTCACCATTTACTACTACTTGATGTAAAAGATTGTAAAGTGTTTTTTTTTATTGAGTGTCTTCATGAAAATATTTTTAAACAGTTAAAGAAACAGAAGGATAACACTACAACATTCATTTGCATTGAGATATCTTGTACATAAAAATTTTGAAAGTTATTATTTTAAATGATTGTTTACCATGTGCCTACAATTCTTTTTTTTTAACTTTCCAATGTTATTAATCATATGTAACAGACTGACATCCAAATACTGTACATAACTCTACAATCAGAATGCTGATAAGACATCATCTTTATTAAATCTGATAATTATTAAAAAAGACTAAGACATTTAAATAATCAAGGTTGAAGAACCACAGGTTCTCACTCTCAAAGAATCAATCCCACTGACATTTGGATTTCAGACTTCCAGCTCCCAGAATTATAAAACAATGTATTTCTGTGTTTAAGCCACCAGCCTGTGTAACATCAATTCTAGGAAACTAATACAGTTATTATTCAGGAAATCAAACAGCATGCTTCTGTATTCACACAACATCCTTCCCCTGGAACAGCATTCAGACTTGAAGGGAGTCATTTCTTAACCCCTCTGGTCTATTTCTCAATCCTTATGGTCCACTGAAACTGGCAGTCACAATCACCTTCTAAAACATGTTGCCTTGAACCCAGCCTCTGTGGTATGGCTGCTTACTTCTATTATATGCCAGCAACAATGAGATGGGATTTGGGTAGATACCAGGTTCAAGCTCTGATCAGCAAACTTGGCCTTCACCACCTGGCTTAAAAGGACAGTCTGCTTCATATTCTCTGCACCCCTCAAACAATTTCAACTAATAATCTCTGGAGAAAATGGCCTTCTGCTTTAGTTGCTATAGCAAGAAAGTAACAGATGTAAGCCAAAATGATATGGAAACAACCTGTTAGCAGCTGGGAAGTAAAGGTAAGGTTTGTTTTGACAAATTGCCTTAAAACCAAACGTTCTTCCTATAATCTTAAAACAAAGTCGTGTTTTCAGAATCCCATCAGAGCCCCCACTAATCTTCCTGCTGCACTCAATCTTTTAAACCTAAAATAACTGTAGATTCTCCCAGCAAACACAATTCAGAGTAAAATAAAAATAAAGATAACCCAGACCCTATTCTTAAGAAGCACGTTCTGGTATATGTCAAATACTACTTGCTTTTTATGACAAAATTTATCTTCTCATTAGTACAGATGAAAACTGAAGTCTACAAAAACTATGTTACTTTCCTAAGAGAAACAACCTTGGGCATGGTAAAGAAGTTGACCTAGAAATGGTAAGAGAAAATAACTTCCTAAGAAAGTAATCATTACCTGTCATGAAGGCTGAAAACAGAAAAATGTCAAAAAGAAACTTTGGACACCAGACTGAAATAAAAACTAGAGTTGCGGTTTTGATTAAATAAATTTATTGGATCAATAGAGAAAGAAGGTCCATCATGAAATCCATCAATGCAGTAACTGTCACAGTCATCCTAATGAGGCAGAACTGCCAGGTGTCAGGTGAATTTCACCTTGTCCCACTTCATGAGGTAAACTTAAGGAACTGGTAGGTTCTGTATAGTTCAAAAACAGACATATTAGACTTCCAGTGCAGGATCAACATCTTCCAAAAGTGATGCTGAGGACATGTGGCATTCAGAATTTGTGAATCTTGGTGTTATGAATATATAGGTTGAGAATCTCTCATGGTTTTTTTCCTTAGTAGTATCCAAAGCCAGAGCCATAGCCAGAGCCACATCCATAACCACAGCCACAGAGGGACCGGGAGCCATATCCATAGCCACAGCCATAGCCACAGCCCAGGCTGCGGAAGCCACAGCCCAGGCCTCCATAGCCAAAGCCCAGGCCTCCATAGCCACAGCCTCCATTGCCATAGCCCATGCCTCCGTAACCATAGCCCAGGCCTCCATAGCCACAGCATCCATAGCCACGGCCTCCATAGTAGTTTCCGTAGTAGCTGCCACACATGGTGTTGGTTGTTGAGTGGAGAGTTTGTCCTTGGGTAGAAAAGTTGTGTAGGTGAGGAGTCTGGACAATTGTTCCTGTAGAAGGCCTTTTATATGCCTTCAGAGTGGGTGGGACCCATCACATGTGCTCATGCCATTGGCCTATTTTATGACTAATATAATTAATGTGTTATTAAGAGAGCAGTGGGTTGTGCCTTAAGGCATTTAAGAGGCATGTTTTAATGCATTAAGTAGCATTTTAATAAGATCATAGAGTCATACACGCAGATCTTTAGTTTAAAATTCTAAAACCAGGTATAATGTAAAGAAAGAGAATCCTTGATAGTTTGAATTGACTTGCTGTTAACCCTAAATCACTATTTTTCTCCTTGACTGTTAGAGTCTGTAAACAAGTCAAAATAACACCTGGCATTTTGCCAGGGGAATGTTAGAGTTCGTAAACAAGTCTGGATGGTGCCTGGCAAATTGCCAGAGGGAGTGGTTTGAGAAGTAACAAAAGCGAGCCATTAAGTGTGGAGATTCCTGATTGGTTGAGTGATGTATCTAGTTTATGCTAATTAGATAAGCTGTGTGGAATGTATAAATACTGCTCCTGTCCTGCAATAAAGGACTCCTACTCCTGCTGTATCAATGCACACAAGTTGTTTGTCACCCGCCCCCCCCCCCCTGTTATTTTGCTGCAGCCATACTCAGGCACTTGACCTTCCATAATTACAGTCTTCCTATGGGGTATTTTAAATATCTGTTCCTGTCCAGGGACAAATAGTAGAGTGTTGGGGTGGCTTGTGATGAGATTAAGGAATAGAAGATAACTTAGAACCCCCCCCCCTTATTTATGAGAGATTAGAGGACAGGAAAGTTTCTGATTTCCTATCTAAATACAAAATTGAAGTAAATAAAAATGAATTTAATGCAATCAAAGAGACAAAACTATTTTATAATTCATCCAAAATTTTTCCTTTTTATGTAGGTTTCTTTGCAGACATTTTTCTTGGTATACAAAATTCATAAATACATTATTTGTGACAAAATTTTATTCATTGTCTTTCTTGATAGAAGCATTAGTTGCAGATAGATCTTCAATATCCCAATGTATATTTTCCCAAATGAAATGACATTAACTGGAACTTTTACTCCAAAATTCAACAAATTCAACCATCCATCCATCCATCCGTTTATCAATCCATTCATCCATTCACTCATCATCAAATATATATAGTTTCAATGACAATTGTCAGAATCATAAAAATTTATGTTATCATCAATAGATCTTAACCAATAATGGGACTCCATTTTGCATTTTTTAAACAAAATCTCATATAATTTTTTAATTAAAATTTAAATAGCTTTGGAAAGAATTATTTGTCTTACACCAAATTGTCCTAGATTTCAAAATTAATGGGCTTAGAATATGGAACCTATAAAATAGAACTCGCAATACTGTGTAGAAAATAAAAACATGATAAAAGAAAAAAAGGGCTGGGGATGTGATTCAAGTGGTAGCGCGCTCACCTGGCATTTGCGGGGTGCTGGGTTGGATCCTCGGCACCACATACAGATAAAATAAAGATGTTGTGTTCACCGAAAACTAAAAAAAGAAATATTAAAAAAATTCTCTCTCTTTAAAAAAAAGAAAGAAAGACAGAAAAAAAATACCTACCAAAATTACCAGAAGGAACTCTTGATTGCCAAATATAGGATGAGTGGTGCATTATCATTGGGATTATGAGTTTTGAATAAAGTAAAAAACTTTTAGTTCATACCAATATAAACAAATAAATGAAAAGATAAATGAATGTATAATGGACAATTCTTTTTATAGTAAAATGAAATCAATAAAAACAATAGGAATTATGGAGAGAGAAGATATTTAATGGATGCTGAACTAACAGAGAAAGATTTGGTGAGCAACAAAATATTCAGCTTAGTCTCAAATAATTTCCTTATAATTGGGTAAAACAGTAATCTAATAATAAATGTGATGAACACCAAATGATCAAAGTTAATAGTATCCCTTCTGGGAAAAACTAAAATCTGGTTTATCATCAGCCTCATGATATGATATACTAACAACAACACAATATCACTTCAGTCTTATGCCAAAATGCATAACCCAAACCTACTCAAGAAGAGACAACAGACAAACCCACATTTTGCGACAACTTTACATAAACCACAGCAGGTATTCTCAAAATATTACCAAGGTCATCCAACTTAAAGAAAGGCTGAGGAACTACATAGATTGCTTCTCTGTCTTCATTTGCACCACTCAGCAAAAACTGGTTCCATTTGGTATTTCCTTTATTCTCTCTTCAAAGCTGTACTATACTTTTATAGAGTCCTTCGGAGGAAGGACAAGGACTTTGTTTGCTTCCATCCTCACAAGCTGCTTCTCCTCATTATCCTTTGCTTGACTGGTTTAAAGTGACCTCAAAAATCCTGGAGTGCCTGGGGCTTCATGTTTATCTCTTTTAGAGTCTCTCTCAAGTTCTTTTTTCTGGACCACAGTCAATATCAGGATTCTAAGTACCTCACAGTCTCCAATTGACTCCAATTTTTATATATAAGCTTGAAAATTTTGAATTTTTATACTGGCTGACTTGTTTTTAACACCTTGACTTGGATGCTAATTGGCATTAGGAATCTGTCCTTGATCATCTGAATTCATCCCCTACCACATTTCTCTTATGTACCAATAATGCTAAAACTCCACTGACTTTTCTGCTCCCCAAGTACAACAAATATTGCTCGCAATAAACTCCCAGTCTTGGCACTATTTTTTATTAAAATAATATCAGGGAAGTTTGGCTACATTTTCTAATTAAATCACAATAATAACACCACAATTTATGATCACCTTACCTTAATTCAACTCCTTTTAATACCTTTTTAAAATTTAATGTAACTCACTAAGTTTATTATCTTAAAGCATCTCTATTACAATTTATATAATATTTATTTTTTTAAAATATATCTCTCTTCTTCAATCTCAATTGTAACCTACAGAAAGTAGAGATTTTGCCTGTTTTGTTCATCTGCTCCATCCTTATTCCTTACAACAGTGCCCGGCACAGAAGATTCATAACACAATTTGGGAACAAGAGAAAATGTAAACCAATGAATGAGATATTGTAATCTTCTCAACTCCAATTCTGTATGGAATAAGCTCTACTTTGTACTGTGCCTAGGGTACCTGGAGATACTATCATACACTTGACATACACAGACTATCTGATGAACCTATCATTGGTACATTTTCTGGTTTAGAATCCATACCCTTTTCTAACTGTTAAAGTTGTATATATCTACTAAAGTTTATGAACTACTGTGTGTAATTTCATCTCTCTCTGACTATATCTTCTCCTCTCCTTACTGATGACTTTGCAACATATTTGGGAACATGGAGTAATATGAATCTTAAAAACATATTCTTTAAGTACAATAAACTAAAATATATGAATATTTAATATGTATTAAGAAAAAATGTGAATTTTAAATTATGATGGGAAAAAGTTTGGCAACTCCTATTGGAGAAATCTATGAGTCCTTAAGATTAGAGAATAGAAAAATACATTAGAGGTTATGGAGATAAATCAAGATGCAGAGACTTAGGAAAAACTTTAGGAAGTTGGTGAGTGTAACAGGATTTTGATAGGCAGTGGGAATTTTGGAAGCTATAAGTTACATAAAGAAATCTCTAGTAGAAAGTTTCAAATATACAAAAGGAATATAACTAATATACTCATATAATGTAAACAAAGTAAGGATAGTCAAAGATATAATATTTTACAACTCTAAAAATATAACCCAAGTATGAACTGGGAGGAACTGTCCCCACAGAATAAGCAAAAGACTGAATTAAAACTAAAACATATAGGCTTATATTTACAAGTAAACCCAGACATTTTTATCTAGTTCACTACATCTCCATCTTTCTTTAACCATGTCAGGCCATGCAATAGTTTTAAGCTTGAATTTATTGAGAGAGGGGAAGAAGATACTGAAAAAGAAAAAGGAAATATCTCAAGACACAGAAAATGAATGCTTTATGTGATCATAGGAAAGCTATTTATCAATTTTAAGTTGGGGATTTTAAAACAGCTAAACTCTCATATGAAGAAATTCCTAATTTCTTGAGGCTCATGATCTCATTTGTAGCCATTCTGATAAACAGTGGCAATTTTGTCTTTGAACATGATTAAGATAGTTTTGAGGGTTTATTTTATTTTTTTTTAATTTGATGTCAATTAATTTGGAGATTTTAGTCTATGATTTGCTTCATATGCAACACAAGTGATATAAAAAAGACCTCTACAAACTAGGAGGCTCAGATTCCAGATGCTAATTATCTGTCTTAACTAAACTTTCCACTGATTTCACCATGTGCTACTATGCCAATTACTATGGTGGCTTGAGCTATGGCTATGGTGGCCTTGGCTGTAGCTAGGGCTCTGAATATGGCTGAGGATACACCTGCCACTGTGCATGCTGTTTTGGGAGTTGCTGGTCTTCTGCCTACTAAGAAAGTTCGAATTCTGCTAACTTTGAGTCATTTTCTTATGAAACACAAGGGCTATAAATAAAAGTATTTATAGTATTAGTTATCAGTATTTTCTGTTCAAGTTTGACCAAACTGATTTTTGCTTATCATAAATAATTCAAAACTCTATTGATAAGGGGAATAGTATTTGATATTTTGTTGCTATTTTATTTTTGTTTACACCTAATATTGACATTTTTCATGTGGGAAAATTCAAAATTTATAATTTCATTTTTCAATAAAGCTAATAAATTTCAAAATAGGCATGGTTTATCATGTATATTCCTTTTCTCCATCATTTTGTATTTTGTGTATCTGTGAGTGTGTGTGTGTGTATTTGAGAGAGAGACATTGAGACTAGATAGAGTGAAATAAAAAGAAGAGAAACTGCTACCCTTGTAGCTATTTTACTTCTTGAAATGGCAAAAGAGGAAATGAAAAATTAATTTTTTCAAACTAATGTCTTATAAATGTATTTTCATGTGTGATTCTAAGAGTTGTTTGACATTAACCTAAAGCAAATCTCATTTTTTTTTTTTTGCAAAATTCAATGTTTAACCCATTTAACAGACAAAATCAGTAGCATTATTGCCCATCAACCTCATAGTTTCTTTTTGTTTTTATGGTCTATGCTATTATAGTATTTTTATTAATTTTTTATATATGATAGCAGAATGCATTACAATTCATGTTATACATATAGAGCACATTTTTTTACATCTCTAACCATACAATGTATATTCACACAAATTCATGTCTGCATATGTGTACTTTGGATAATAATGTTTATAAAATTTCATCATCATTTCTAACTCCATTCCCCCTCCCTTCTCCTCTCACCCCTCTGCCTTATCTAGAGTTCATCTATTCCTCCAATGCTCCCCCTCCCTACCCCACACTATGAATCAGCCTTCTTATATCAGAGAAAACACTCAGCATATTTTTTGGGGGGATTGACTAACTTCACTTAGCATTATCTTCTCTAACACCAATCATTTACCTGCAAATGCCATGATTTTATTCTCTTTTATTGCTGAGTAATATTCCATTGTGTATATATGCCACATTTTTTAATTCATTCATCCATTGAGGGGCATCTAGGTTGGTTTCACAGTTTAGCTATTGCGAATTGTGCTGCTATAAATATTGATGTGACTGTATCCCTATAGTATGCTGTTTTTAAGTCTTTTAGGTATAGACCCAGGAGTGATAGCTGGGCCAAATGTTGGCTCCATTCCCAGTTTTCCAAGGAATCTCCATACTGCTTTCCATGTTGGTTGCACCAATTTGCAGTCCCACCAGCAATGTATGAGTGTACCTTTTTCCCCACATCCTCACCAACACTTATTGAAGTTTTTATTCATAATAACTACCATTCTGACTGGAGTTAGATGAAATATTAGGGTGGTTTTGATTTGCATTTCTCTAATTGCTAGAGATGTTGAACATTTTTTCATATGTTTGTTTATTGATTGCATATCCTCTTCTGAGTAATGTCTGTTCAGGTCCTTGGCCCATTTATTGATTGGGTTATTTTTTGTTTTTGGTGTTCAGCTTTTTGAGTTCTTTATGTACCCTAGAGATTATTTCTCTGATATGTTAATGATAAAAATTTGCTTCCAAGATGTAGTCTCTCTATTCACCTCACAGATTGTTTTTTTGGTGAGAAGAAACTTTTTAGTTTGAATTCTTCCAATTTATTGATTTATGATTTTAATTCTTATGGTATAAGAGTTTTAATAAGGAAATTGGTGCCTAATCTGACATGATTAAGATTAGGGCCTATTTTTTCTTCTATTAGATGCAGGGTCTCTGATTTAGTTCCTAGGTCTAAATCCACTTTGAGTTGAGTTTTTTTTTTTTTGCATGGTGACAGATATGGATTTAATTTCATTTTGTTGCATATGGATTCCAGTTTTCTCAGTACAATTTGTTGAAGAGGTTGTCTTTTCTCCAATGCATGTTTTTGGAACCATTGTCTAATATAAGATAATTGTAATTTTGTCTAATATAAGATAATTGTAATTTTGTGGGATAATTGTAATTTTGTCCTCTGTTCTGTACCATTATTTTACAAGTCTGTTTTGGTGCCAATACCATGCCGTTTTTGTTACTATTGCTCTGTAGTACAGTTTAAGGTGTGTTACAGTGATGCCACCTGCTTCACTCTTCCTGCTAAGGATTGTTCTAGCTATTCTGGGTCTCTTTGGGAATTGGGTGTCAGGAGCTGGGAGTCCTGCTCAAACACTAAGACCCAGAGCCCTGTGCAGGGGCACAGCACTGGTAATTTCTGCAGGAGAACAGCTGTATAGGCGTCCTTTATCACTCTCAAAGAAGCAGTATTCCCACTAGTTGAGACCTGGGTCACAGAGCGACACAGAATGCTGCCTCTCTCTGGCCCACCATCTTGGATTTCTCATAGTTTCTATTAATAATTGTCTCTATCATTATGCACTGCATTTAAACATGTGCTTCTGGACAAAATATAATTCTATCCCACATCATGTGTTCCAACTTCTCCTTTTCACTCAAAGATAAGAATTCTCTTTGTGCAACTGACTGGTATTCCTCATGGTCCTATATTCCAATGAAAAGACTGCCTCGTTTTGAGA